ATATATATATATATATATATATATATATATAAAATACAAATTATAGAAACTTAATTTTTTAAATTATTAAAAAATAGGATATTAATTAGAATAAAATAATAATATTAAACAAATTTATTATTTAATTTCTATATTTCTATATTTTTTATAATATAACATGCTTTGTCTTTATTTTTATTTTTGTATATTACATAATCTAACTATTTATTTAACCCTAAATAATTTTCCAAATATGAAAGTATCCAATTCGAATCGTTTAATTTCATAGGATTTAATTTAAATTTCTTTCCATCATTAGTAACAATATCGAAAATATGTTCAATATTTTCTATATTATTTATATATTTTTTATTGTTTTTTTTGAATGAAGTATTTTTTGTTTGTGCAAGAACAGGTGTTTTCATTCTATTAATCTGTCTACATTCTTTTTCTGTTGATTTATTAAAAGTTTTCAAAATTTTTATATTTTTTCTAACATACAGAGATCTTGGAGATGAGCCCATCAAACGTAAAATTTTATTATTATTTATCATTACATCGATATAATTATCTACTTTATTGTTAAAACTATTTATAATTTTGAAATTATTATATTTTGTTTTTTCACAATTATATTTTAATTTTTTATTGATTTTGAAATTGGTTATTTTTTGCAAATAAGAGTCAAAAAAAGATTCTTTGAATTCTTTTTTTAAAGAATAATTATCATTCATAGATGTTAATTTTTTATTGTAATACCTGCTACTTGGCTTATATAATTTACGTTTTTCGCTTATAGCTATATTTCTATTACACATGGTGTCCTTTAATGATGTTATTTTCTTTTTATTTTTTCGTGGAGATTGATAACATAGAATTGTTGATAATTTTGGTTCAATTTTAGCTGAAATAATAAATAAAAATATTTTAAATGTTATTTTTTTAATTTATTTTATTTTCTATTATAAATTTAAAAAACATTAAAAATGAATTTTTCTATACTTTTTCTTAAATCGACTCATTAATTATTCATTTAAGTATATTATATGTTACATATTTAAAAAAATCAATAAATTATATTAATAAAATTTAAAGTTACAATAAATTCCTATATTCTTCTCAAAAATATTTATTTTTTTTAAATATTAAATAATTATAAATTTATTTATATAAATTTTCTTACAAAACTAAAATTATTTACTTTTCTTGGGTTCTATCCATTCATCAGGATGTAGTTTATTCCATTCAATCCGTAAGAATTCTAAAATGGTAGCGCAACCGGAACCTACAATATCTTGCGGTGGCATGATAAGTGGATTATCTGCTACTTGAAGATTTTTTAGATTTGTTAGAGTACCTAAAACAAGATTAAATATTTTCATTTTTTTATTTCAGTTTTAAATTTTTTATACAATAAATTATTTTCAGAAAAATGAATATTTCATTAATGTAATTTAAAATAATATATTACAGTTAATTTTATGACTATCTTTATCACATATTATATTCTCAAATATCTACATTTACAATATAATTTAATTCTATGTTCATATATTATTAATTTATTATTATTATATCAATTATATATTAATTATTAATATTATAAAGTTATATCATTAATATATATTATTTAAAAGATAAAAAATATAATAATTATAAATAAATAATATAATTAATAAGATTTATAATTTAAACTTAACAAAGTTCCAATGGTAATTCCTTCATTTTATTTCCTTGAAGTAAAATTGTTTCTAAGCAGCTATGCCATTTAATGCTAACTGGCAAAAAAGTAATTTGATTATTTCTGATATCTAACCACTGTAGATAATTTAAATAAGTAAAAATTTCATCAGGAACTTCGATCAAATTGTTATTCGACAAATATAACATCTAAAAACAATAGAAATATATTCAAAATTTAAAATTATATCAAAAAAACTTATGTTAATTGTTTTGCTAATATTTTAATACAATTACTTGAAAAAATAAGCTACCCTTAATTGTGAAAAGTTGTTTAATATCACAATAGGAAATTGTTTTAAATCTGTATTTGAAAAATCTGCAAACATATCATTGTAAATAGGTTCCTTTTTTGGTACTAATGGCGATGAAATAGATTCGTTTGACGGTACACTTGTATTACTCTTCAAAAATGTTTTTGATTCTTTATGTGACAAGGAAGAATATTCTGAAACATCGTCAGAAAATGTATCCTCGATAAGTTCCAAATTTAATTCATTTTTTTTTGCATCTTTTATGTCATCATTTATTTCTATAATAATAATAATAATAAAAGATATAATTTCTTTTAAGTTAAATAAAGAATATTTGATATAAATATTAATACCTGGATCTTCGATATTTATTTTAATATAATTTGAAGAAACATCATTTGTTGATTGCTCGAGTAAATGTACATCTGATATATCAGACAATTGTTCGTATGATTGTTTAGGTGATACATTTTCAAGAGTGCTACAAAGAATATTCGGACCAAAGTCGATATCTCTTATATCGAAATTTTCATTATTGTCATATATATCTTCCAAGTTATTTAAAACTTGTGAGGATTGTGGATACAAGTCATTTCCAATACTAACTTTTCGATCCTCCTCAATATCTTTCTTTATTATGAAAATTATATTAAAATGTGTGTAATTATAAAATATCTTCATAACATATTAAAATATATAATACATTTAAAAAAATAAATAAAAAGCAATGATTTCATATCTCTTGAATATAAATAATTATTAGTTTTAGAAGAAGAAAAGATAATTAATTAATTAATTAAAATTAATTAAAGTTGTAAAAGTGAAAATTTATCATACTATTGTAATAGATAATATTTAGAAATATATTATCAATTATAATTAAAATATTATAAATATTTCCAGAATAAAAAAAAATATATAATAAATATAATATATATTAAATAAAAATGAAATAAATCTATTTTTCATTCATGAATAATTATTAATTCAATAAAAAATTATACAAAAAAATATTTCATCAAAATGAAAAGAACAGCATTATCAATATTTTATAAATAAATAAAGATAAAATATACAATTTTGATTACCTGAAACTCTTCATTGGCCACATTCTCATCATTGCTGGTTAAAGAATGCTCAGTAATCTGTTTTTCATCTTCGTTTTTTACTCTTTCGATATTACGATGTATCGAGAGAAACTTTTTGCCACTCGATGCTGCACCAAACCCATAATATTGTATTAATAAATCTTTAGCTAAATCAGACATATTGCTGAACAAGTTGTTTCTTACAATTTTTGCAAACAATTCTAGAAGTTGACAATGATAATTCAACTATGATGATTAGATCGATTCCATTTCATGTTTATTTATTGCCTAGGTGATGAAGAAGATACACGTATACATATGATTTAAAATAGGAATTACTATCGATTTAGTCAATTATAGTATCATTTTTATAAATGATTTATTAATTATAACAAACATATTAATTTGAATATCAGAATATAAATTCTGCAAAAGGATAAATTTTTCCAGAATTTTTTCAGAAAGATTTTGAATTAAATAAATATTTCAAGTGCTGGAATATTCAATTAAAAAAAAGAAAAAGAAAATTTTATATCATAATTATATGTTATATATTGATTTTTATTGTATTTGATTTTTTGTAATTACTTCATAATATATAAGTTTACTTAATACAGTATATATAATACATACATTTGATCTAAATATACAAATGGATTATGATTATAATTGCGTCAAAAATAACCGATTATCGTTACATTTAATTATATAATTTTTGATGTCTTATTTCATTTTAAATCGATAATATCGTATTTGACAGAAAAATATTTAACAAAAGCTAATTTGTTAAAGACATATATAAATATATTAAATTTGAAATATGTTATTTAAGTAACTTTAACTTTATATAGTCACTCAGTTTTTAGCTATATATAAAAAGAAAAAATAAAAAATAGAATGTTTGCGAATAATTCAATAATCAAAGCTATCTATCAATTATAATAAAGATATATATCTTTAACAATATATTTAAGCTTAGTTTTTAATAATAAAATCGATGAAGAAAGAATTAATTAATAGATTATTCAAAAAAGAAAATAAATTTTAGAAAATAAGTATAGATAAAGAAAACAAATAATGAGAGAAAAACAAAAATAAGCTAAAAATCTAGGAACTAACACAATCTCTGGAATTATGAAACTAATATGAGAGAAAAAGAAAGAAAATAGTGAAAAAAAAAGAGATAAAATTAATTATAATTAATCATTAACTCCATCTCTCAAGTAACAAAAATAATTCTTTAAAAAATTCAAATAGAGCAAGAATTATATATCAGCATCATCTTTTTTTAGAATTTTTTAGCATTTAAAAAATAGCGCTAATCTTCAATTCTCATTTTATCTTATTCTATCTTTGAAAAAATGTCTTTAATATCCAAGAGATGGCGCTAATAATTAATTCTTATTCTGTTTCTATTTTTCCTTTTCTATCATTATTTATTTTCTTTGTCTATACTTGTTTATAACATGTGACCAAAAATAAGATCTAATACATCAATTAAATATATTTTTATCATTTCTCTTTCAAAATTAAGTGAAGTATCTTAATTTTGTGATAATGTGAAAAATATAGATACAACATTTTTGGTTTTAGAATATGCATATTTAAATATAATTACATATAAAATACAATATTTCATATACGGATATTCTGTAATGAAATAAAATAAATTTTATTTTTTAATTTTAATTGCATTTTATATTGCATACTAACAATATAAATATAAATATAGATATAATATAAATACAATATAGATATAATATTTTTGGTTTTACAATATGCATATTTAAATATAATTACATATAAAATGCAATATTTTATACACGGATATTCTGTAATAAAATAAAATAAATTTTATTTCTTAATTTTAATTGCATATTAACAATAATTATTAAAATATTAACATTAATTATTAAAATCTAATTTTATTTTAAAAACTATAAATGATATAAAAATAATTAACCATGAAATAAATAATATACGAAGAATAGGTTAACCAATAAATGTTATTGGAGCATTTTAAATAAACTTATTATTTAAAGTAACTTTTCGAAATTATTCAAAACTAATTTATTTCAGCTCTAGTTATAGTTAAATACAAGGATTTATATATAGTTATATATACTTAGGCAAGGTTTACTTAGGTTTTATGAATATGCTTTTTCTATTATAAATATAAATGTTGCAAACAATAAAAGTATAATAATAATAAAAATATGACCGTTATATTTTTCTTCTTAATTTATTATTTAATCCTCTCAATTATAACTCTAGAGTCTTTTATTACCCCTGCAGAATAACAACATATTTTCGTATTATATCTGGAAGATATATATATAAAAGTATCTATGACATTTTAAATACAATTAGATAAATAATTTTTTCTATGTTCTTATAATAATTCATCAAAAGATGAAAATTTTTTAATTTAATTTTATAGATAAAATTAAATTAAAATATTTATATATATCATTACATTAATAATAAATATATTTATAAATATATTTTAATAAATAATACATATGTATATAATAATAAACATATGTAAAAATATATATACAGGATTTATTTTATTAAAGATTTAAAATCGATTTTACATCGATTTACTATAAACTCTTAAAATCTTAAATTTTTTTTTTTAGTACTTTTTGTATATATTAAAACAAATTTACTTATATAATTATATTTCTTCGCCATTTTATAATAAGTATTGGTATAGTATGTTGTATCATCAATAGATGGCATTGTATCATTGCGTCCTGTTGCTAAGCAACGCATTCCCCCATTAGACGATGATTCCTTCTCTCTTACTTACTATTGTATAGTACACGTTGTATACCTTGATAATGTCAGTGTCGCGCAGTTCGGCGTAGAGAACTCTTCGAAAGTTTTTGTTACATATTTGTATTGGTTATTCTGTACGACGTACGCGTTGGTGAGCTAACCAAGTTATCTTCAGTCAGCAGCTATATAATATTAATATAAAATATAAAGAAATAAATATTTAATATATATATAAAATGTCGGATTCGGAAGCGAGTAATCTCTCTGATAATGAAAGTGATCGTGGCGGTGGCGGTAGCGAAAGTGATCAAGAAGAAAATCACTCAGTAAAATCCGCAGCTGGCAGCGATGCAGGTAGTGTTGGTGAAAGATCTCATAGTGCTTCTCGCAGTAGAAGTCCATCTAGATCACGATCTAGAAGTCCATCAAGGTGGCGATCACGATCTCAATCAGCATCTGGGTAATTAAAATTTAATATTCATTTTAAAATTTAATATTTATTTCATAATTTGTTAAGGTTAGGTTATTAGTACTACCATATCGTTTGCATTGAAATTCACTAATATACATGTATATAAGTTTACATGATGGCAATGAATTTCCTAATTTTTTCTTTCTTTCTCTCTCTGAAATAATTGATTTTAAACGAAATATTCATTTGTTATTCGTTTAATATCGTTGGATTAATATCAAATTATGATATATGTATGTAGTATTTTATGTAATCATGAATAATAGTGTTTGGCGAAATCGATTATTACGGTATTTTATATATTTTTGAAATCATTTTTTACATATTCAGATTATATTATAAATATATATAATTATAAATTACAAATATATATTATTCAATATTAAACACCATTATATTAATTAAAGATTTTTAAATATTATTTGTAAAATAATATATCATTTATTAAATAAAAGAAATAGATTGATTAAGAATTATAAAAATTTATATTTTAAGTTCTGACGATGGTAGAGGAGATGAAGCAGAAGAAGCAAGATCTGGTGATGAAGAAATGGTGGAACCTGAGGAAGAACCTGAAGGTAATATAATATAATAAATATAAATAAAATAAAAAAGAATGCAATATAATATTTCTTTTATCTAAGAATTTTATCTAAGAAATATTTTATTTTTTATTTAGGAGAAGATTTGGAAGGAAGTAGTGAATATGATGAAGAAGAAGAAGAAGAAGACGATGATAGGCCTCGCAAGAAAAAGAAAAAAGATAAATATCGTGATTTCATTATAGACGAAGCTGAAGTAGATGATGAAGTAGAAGATGATGATGAGTGGGAAGAAGGTGCTCAAGAAATTGGAATTGTTGGAAATGAAGTAGACGAATTAGGTCCTACTGCTAGAGAAATTGAAGGCAGACGTAGAGGAACAAATCTTTGGGAGTAAATATATTTTAAACATCTTCAAATTTATAGGATGATCCTCTTAGATTTAAAATAAAGTCGCAGATTAAATATTAAAGTGGTATTTATCTATATATAATTTATAAGTTTGTAGTTATTATGAATACAACTGTTATCATTATCGATCATGTCGAAATAATTCCGTCTTTTTCATGATATATCATTGTATATAAAATGATATTTATGTGATATTTAAATGCTTCATTCATGAGAAAATTATATATGTATTTTTGAATTTTATATTTTTAAACTAATTTTAAAAAATTTTTCAGTTCCCAAAAAGAGGATGAAATAGAAGAATATCTTCGAAAAAAGTATGCAGACGAATCTATTGCTACTCGGCATTTTGGAGATGGGGGCGAAGAAATGAGCGATGAGATCACTCAACAAACTTTGCTACCAGGTGTAAAAGATCCAAATCTATGGATGGTAAAATGTCGTATTGGAGAAGAAAAAGCCACAGTACTCCTGTTAATGCGAAAATTTATAACATATCAATTTTCAAGTACATAATAAAAATTATTTTAAATCTTTATTTTAAAATATTTTTGCTTGAAAAGAATTCTAATTTTAAAATTTCTTTTAGACGAACCTCTTCAAATAAAATCCGTGGTTGCACCTGAAGGAGTAAAGGGTTATATTTATATAGAAGCATATAAACAGCCACATGTAAAAGCAGCTATTGAAAACGTAGGAAATTTAAGAATGGGTATTTGGAAACAACAGATGGTACCAATTAAAGAAATGACTGATGTATTACGTGTAGTTAAAGAACAGACAGGCTTAAAAGCGAAACAGTGGGTTAGATTAAAAAGAGGCATTTATAAGGATGATATAGCTCAAGTTGATTATGTTGATTTAGCGCAAAATCAGGTTCATTTGAAATTGTTACCCAGAATTGATTATACTAGACCACGTGGCGCTTTAAGAACAGCACAAAGTGAATCTGAAGCCTTAAAACGTAAAAAGAAAAGAAGACCAGCAGCCAAACCGTTTGACCCCGAAGCAATCCGCGCTATTGGAGGAGAAGTTACGAGCGATGGTGATTTTTTAATTTTTGAAGGAAATAGATACAGTAGAAAAGGGTATGAATTTTAATATGAATTATCAGATTTATAATAAAGATTTCTTTTAAATTTATATAAATTTAAATTTTTTATTACAGATTTTTATATAAAAATTTTACGACAAGTGCTATTATTGCCGAAGGTGTAAAACCAACTTTATCTGAATTAGAAAGATTCGAAGAAGCTCCTGAAGGAGTTGAATTAGATTTAAGTGGAGCTCCAGGAACTGGTGCATCTGGTAATAAAGAAGATTCAGCTGTGACACATTCTTTTAGTACAGGGGATAATGTCGAAGTATGTGAGGGTGAATTGATCAATTTACAAGGAAAAATTGTATCAATAGATGGAAATATGATTATGGTTATGCCAAAACATGAGGAACTTAAAGAAGCTTTAGAATTCCAAGCTTCTGAATTACGAAAATATTTCACTATGGGTGATCATGTTAAAGTAAGATTGAAAAAGTAATAAATATAATACAAAATTATTTTTAATATAAATATTATATTTTAAAACTAAACTATATTTTTGATTCTGTATAGGTTGTGGCAGGAAGATATGAGGGTGATACTGGTCTGATAGTTCGAGTAGAACAAAATAGAGTAGTTCTATTTTCTGATCTTTCAATGCATGAATTAGAAGTTCTTCCAAGAGACTTACAACTTTGCTCTGATATGGCAACTGGTGTAGACAGTTTAGGTCAATTTCAATGGGGTGATTTAGTGCAGTTAGATGCACAAACAGTAGGTGTGATAGTTCGACTTGAACGTGAAAATTTTCATGTTCTTTCCATGCATGGAAAAGTTATAGAAGCTAGACCTCAAGGACTTACAAAAAGACGTGAAAATAGAAATGCAGTAGCATTAGACTCTCAACAAAATACTATACAGAAAAAAGATATTGTTAAGGTAGTGGATGGTCCACATGCTGGAAGAGGTGGTGAAATTAAACATTTATATAGAAGTTTCGCATTTTTACATTCACGAATGTTTGTTGATAATGGTGGAATTTTTGTTTGTAAAACGAGACATTTACAACTTTCTGGTGGAAGTAAGTCTAATATATCATCCATGTCACCAATGACAGGATTTATGTCGCCGAGAATTGCTTCACCAATGCATCCTAGTGGGTTAGTAACATTTATTATTTTTTATTTTTTAATAATTCTCTAAAGTTATGTTTTATTATAAATTAAAAAGTTATGTTTTATTATAAATTAATGTTTTATTTATAAATTTATTTTCATTCATATTTTTTATTTTTTAGTGGTGGTTTCGGAAGAGGTGGAGGTGGAAGAGGCAGAGGTCGCGGCGGTGGAGCTAGACGTGATAGAGAATTGATAGGAACTACTATCAAAATAACAGGCGGACCATACAAAGGAAACGTTGGAATAGTGAAAGATGCTATAGATACAACTGCTCGTGTAGAGTTACACTCTACTTGTCAAACCATTTCTGTAGATAGATCTCATATTGCAAACGTTGCAGTACTTACAAAAGATGGTGGTTTCAGCAGTTATAATAGGACACCAGCATATGGTGGCGGACAGACACCAATGTATGCCAGAGATGGGTCTAAGACTCCCATGCATGGTTCTCAAACACCTATGTACGAAAGTAAGTTTTTAAAGCAATTATATAAGTATAAATCACGGCTAATTAAAGTTAATAACTATATAGTTAAATTTTATATTTTATATTTTAAATTTAATTTTTAATAGATGGTTCTCGTACACCTCATTATGGTTCAATGACACCATCTCACGATGGTTCACGTACACCTGGACAATCTGGAGCTTGGGATCCAGCTGTTACCAATACTCCTGCAAGAACAAATGATTTTGATGGATATAGTATGGAAGAAGGCGGATCTCCAGGTTATGCACCAGGATATCCTCCCACAGGTGGACCATTCACGCCACAAACGCCTGGGACAATGTATGGTTCAGAACAGAGTTTCAGCTCGTATCAACCAAGTCCAAGTCCAGCAGGAAGTGCTACTGCAAGTCCTAGTCCTGCAGGATATGTTGCTACTCCTTCACCAAGTGGTACTGGTTATACCACTAGTCCTCATGGAGCTTTCGCTACGCCTTCACCGATGGGTTATAGTCCTATGACTCCTGGTAAGTATTTTTTATATTATAGTTAGAATATCTATTATATTGTTATTCTATTTTTTAGGAGTAGCAGGTAGTCCGTATAATCCACAAACACCAGGCGCTGGTTTAGACACTGGCGTTGGTGCTGGAGTCATTGGAGGAACTGAATGGCATACCACGGATATTGAAGTTCGAATCCGTGATTCTCATCAGGATCCTGCATTGGCGGGTCAGCAAGGTGTTATTAGAGGAATATCTGTAAGTGATTTTGTGGTAAAAAACTCAAGATATTAATCAAATATTGGAATCAGAAAATATAATTATCAATCAAAAATTTTTAATGCCCAAACAGGGTGGAATGTGTGCAGTCTTCTTACCCGTAGAAGACAGAGTAGTGAATTTGGTTTGTGAAGAACTAGAACCAGTAGTTCCATCGCGGGGGGATCGAGTCAAAGTAATTATTGGAGAAGACAGAGAAGCAGTGGGGACATTACTCTCCATAGATAATCAAGAAGGTGTGGTGAAATTGAATAAAGACGAAGTGAAGATGTTGCATTTGCGATTTTTATGTAAGATGAAGGCACCGAATACATAATTCTTCATTCCAAGGCAATTTTCTAAACTTGAAAAAGCTAACACTCGCATGGATATGGGTAAAAAACTTGAGGAACGATCATTGATAGATCTGGATATTTCTATTTTAAAAAAAGAATTATCTTGTTTCTAGAAGAATTCTTACAAGAATTCTTACTTGTTTTCTAATTTCTAAATAATTAACTGAAATATATTTTCTAACATAATATACTAAAATATATTATTTCTTAAAATTTTCTATCAAATAATCATTTAAATAGTTTTTTAAATAGTTATTTAAAAAAAATCTTTTATTTTTAGGAATCATCTCTAAAAAGTTTTGTATATTCTATATATTTATTTTTCTTAAACTTCGCTTACTTGCACTTACTTTGCACTTATTATATTTTTAACAATATTTAATGTTTTTTTTTATAGCATATTTTTCCTTTTTTTTTCTTGCTTTTTTCGCATATATGCTTTAGTTTTTCGCATATATGCTTGTAAACTTCAATTATATAATTTTTTAATTCAATTACATGTTTTTGTTTGAATTATTGTTGCTTATATTAAAACTAATTTGTAGAATGTTTTCTTCAGCACATATTTTTTAATTATAGTATCTATTTTCTGATTTATTAATTCACCAAATTTTCTGAAAAGTTTTTTCCTCTCATTTTCTTCGCATTATAATACTAGAATCTCTTTCTCTCTATTTCGATTTCGATAATTTTTTTAGTTGAACTATACTAAGTTTTATATTTTATGAAAAATGATGATTCAAAGTAGTTTCGAATTATAATCGAATTATATGCTAGTGAAGCTGAATGTTAATTGAAGAATTATTTTATCACAAATAAAATCTGGCTGATAAAATTTTCCTCGATCCAAAGAAACCCACTAAGGACCGTGCGAGTGTTGCAAAGATTTAAGCGCTTCAGGAATTCGAAAAATTTTTAACAAGAATTGTTCAAACAACGTAATGATTTTACGTTGTACTTGTTATGTTTAAAATAGCAATCAAATTATTTAAAATAAATACATATTATTATTGTGAATTAGTAAAATGACTTTCCTTAAATAAGATAATTTTAACTTTTTGCAAGATAAAAAATGCTCAACGATTTGTATAAAATACTTCATCAATTGTTTTATGATGTAAAGTTGTATTTTGATGTAAATACAACAAGAAAGTTAAAAAGAAATGAAACTATTGATTTAATTTTTCTTTCATTGAAAACAAAATCGAAGTAATTACGTATTAAGAATTTATATACTTAAAATTGTGCACTAATCATTTATGACGATTCATTGATCTGAAATCAGTTGCATAAGAAACGAGAGAAAGTCGTGGCGAGATGATTAGGGAACACTCAAGAGCTCGGTATAAATTTTCCAAGGGAAATTTTTTCAAGGCAAAGTCGTACTAATCGGGATTTACCGATTGGAGTATGAGATCATGTTTCCTATGGTTCTTTCGGGTATTTGTAGCAACTACTCTCGTTAATATAGAAAGGTATACAATTATAAATATTAACATCATATTTATTTTATTTATTTTATTTTATTTATTTTATTTTATAATTAATATAATATAAAAAAATAGAGAAAGAATAATTAATTAATAATATAAAGCTAAGAATAATATGTTTTAAATAATATATAATCTCTTTAGTTACTATTATTATGAATGTAGGGTGATGGGTTTTATTTTCAAACATGAACAAAATATTGGCACGGTTTTATTTGACAAAAGTGATGCTACTAAACATTGTTGGACCACAGAGGAATTTATTATCTTGAATAGTCGACGAATGTTTCAAGATTTGTTACCAAAGGTAAATATGCGTTAACCTTATTTTATTTATTAAGCTTTAATGAATAGAATTAAATTATAGATTTAATTAATTTTTCTATCTTATTTTAGATTATTATCAAGTTTTTTATTAATCTTTACTCTTTATTTATTTAGTTACATTTACAAATTTTTCATACTTTTTATTTATTTTTTTACCTATTTATTTACTTAATTTAATTATCTATTTAATTATTTAATTTACGAACAATTAGTTTACAAATAATATTTTATTTTATTTTAAATTAATTTTTTAATATTAAATTTAAGAAATTTAAAGTTCCTTCATAGATAAGATAATTTATTTTTACAAAATTATTTTATTTATCATTTTTATTTTATCTTAATTTCTTGAGGATATTTGAAGTGTTTTTTATTTTTCTTTCAACATTTTAAAGGATACAAACATATTGTATTTTTTAAAATATACATGATGATTTTATACATATTATTTTCTTTAAACATTCCAAAATGTATTTCAATTTCATTTAAATAAATGATTAAAAAATAAAAAATAAAGAATAAATATTTTTTTCTAACCTTGATAAGTTTTTTCTAACATCTCAAACAATTGCCAAATTAAAAACAAATTACTTAAATATTGAATTGTCTATTAATACTTCAACTTTCCATTCCATCTCCTTTAAAAAAGTTCGAAATCGTTCCATCATTGATTTGTACTCCAAGTAGCCATCATCTCTCATCCCCATTTATATATCTGATTCCTCAGGTGAAAGTTTTAAATTGTGAGAACGATGAATACATCGCTCTGCTGATGGATTACTTTCACGTTTGTTTCGAGAGCGTGCGTAAGCTATCGATAGGAAAAACGAAGCATCTAATGTTGAAAGCTCTGGCGGACACAATAGGTGGCTATTTGCAAGTTTACATCCTGCCCCTTACTAAACATTCCTATTATGCGGGAAACATAAAATACCGAAATGCGAGAAAACTGTTCGAACTGCACGAGCAATTAAAGATTTTTTTACGGACTGATGGAAATGGCTGGCTGTACTCTTGCAAAGATATAAAACAGACGAAAATCCAACCGATAATGATCACGGCGCCGAAATCGTTGATCGCGTGCGAAGGCCTTATTACCTATTCTACATGTAAGAAAATAGCTATTACCTTTTAAGGCTTAAAAGGGTAACATGTATTCATAGATATTTTGGATTGATGATAATTGCCTTGATGGAAGATTCAGGGAAAATGGTTTTGTTTGATATTGAGAAGGGATAAATTGCGAAAATATTGAACGTTGGAGTAAAGTTTTGTGAATGCAAGAATTGAAATAATTTAAAAGATTGTTCATGTATAAAAGATTAAAATTAATTTTTTTTTTACATAAATATATTTATACAATTTTATTATTTTTATTCATTATTTATATTTAGATAATAAATTTATATTTATAATAACAATAATATTTTTGATTATTATATTGACTAGAATTAATTTTTATTTTATAATTTGTATATTATATAAATTTAATTCTAATTTGTAATTTATTTTATTTTATCATTCGTTTATTAGCTGCAATTGGATTCAATAAACGAGATGTAAAACGTTTCACATTCAAACAGAAAAAGAAACATTTGAAACACAAAAACAGAAGTAAAAATTCTAGTAAGTTTGTGAGGATAAATATAATTTCAATTTAAAAAATATTTTTAATATTAAATATATCCTTATATGATTTGAAGGACACAAACATGAGTCTGCAGAAGAGGAATCGATTATCATCCCTCTTCCCTTTCTGGACGATGATGTATTGCCAAATAGGTATCGGTCTCGAACCATATATGTTCAATAAGCAACACGGACGATGTTAAAATGGAATTTTTTTTTCAGTATCGCTTTACCATTTAAGAAAGATACCTTGCAGTCCATGTACAGTGAACGATCGACTTTTGCATTGGTTAAATACTACATAGCTAGCGTGAAGTGCATTACTGCGAAGTCGAAAGAAAAAACTGATCTGGAAAATTTTAATCAGGATTTTTACGATTGGCTGCAGCAATCCGTACGTTGTGAGTCGCTGTGATCGAGAGTGGCAATTTTTTTTAAATATCCCATTTTAGGGAATTGTTTAAGTGCATACAAGAAATCTCTTTGCACAAAATATTATAATAATAATAATATTTTACAAGTTACAAATGATACTAATGAAATTTTATTTGCATGATATTAAATTTAATAACAAAATTTTAAGTCATCTAATTATTCTATTTTGCATAAAATTTAACAAAAGAAAGTTTATGAGCTAACTTTTAATTTTATTAATCTAAATTTATTAATCTTATTATTATGTGCAAAAAGACTTAAGTCACTCAAAAAATTTATAGTTCATTTATAAGTACATTTTTTTTTTTTTTTTTGATTGAATGAATATTATTTTTTTCTAAAATTCATATTTTATTCCATATTACATTATTCAAATTTATCATCAGACAATTTTCATCATTTCTCCAGGTTGTACGACATCTCGATGATGAAAAATGGTATCCAGCGTTTGGCGGCGTACTGAGGGTAATAACCTCATTGGAGGACGCTGGTACGATACTTTTCCTTATTTGCAATTTTCCAATGTACGACGTTCTTGTAATTCATCGTTTTTCCATGTCAGGTGCGGGTCTCGCGAAAGGAAGAAAAAGCGGTACCTATCAAGTGATGCCCAAATTAGGCTCGTCATCGACTGCAATGCCGGAAGATGTGTCACCTTTGTATAAAGGTGAGAAGAGAAAGTAGTACTCCACTCCAATTGTTGAATTTTCTATGATCTCTGCTTTCTAATGTTTCTGCTATTAATTTTTTTTCTTGGTTTTAGAGGAGGAAACGGAAGTCACGCTTGGTACGACAGAATTAATATCGATTGCCGTAGTGAGCGCATTGTTGGTATGGTTATTAGTGGGACTGAGCTTGGTCTGCTACAGATTCCTCATAAGAAACTCGGATGAATGTATCCCGTGTGAACCTGATCCTGCGTATGTTTCAATGAATTTTTTAAAGATTATAAAGAAAAAGCAACATATAAAACATATTTATAATATATTGAATATTTTGAATACTTTCTAATATTCAATATATTGTTAATATGTTGATTATATGTCAATCAAATTGTTTATTATATGTTTTTTAAATTTTGTATCTTTATCGATATTTTAATAATTCAAAAAATATTGTTGTAAGATAAAAAATTATATATCTATTTATATCTTTGACTTTTTCTTTATAAATATGGATGTTTTTCTTATTTATAAATATTTTATATTTTTTGATTTAATAATAATAAAATCAGATTTTTCTTATTATATTTTATAACAAAATTATTTTCTTTTGACTTACAAATTTTTTTTTTCATTTAATATAGAGTTGCTGTTTTGTACGAAAATAAAGATTATTGTGAACCCGATACGTGTACAAAAGCGCCTCGTAAAGGATATATAGTGAAGATAGTGGATTGTTTAAAAAGCAGATTTCATTGCAAAACTCGGGATCAATTAGACGAGGAGCGTTGTTTAGCTGCAATTAGTTATACTAGTAAAGATACGATCGATGTTAGTAGTAGCAGAAGTTATCAGTAAGTATTAATCTATTATTTTTAAATGATTAATATATTATAAGATTGACAAAATACAAATATTTTTTATTACAATATAAATATAATAATATAATATATATATAATAAAAATATAATATAAATAAAATGTAATAATAAAATATAATAATGATTAATTTTTTTATTTAAAATTTAAGATATACTTTTAAAATTTAAACATTAAATAATAATGTTTGAAATAATAAAATACATTAAATAATTATATTTTTCATCCCTTTTTAGGAAAAGAAAAATAACTAAATCGGTTTCAGCGGCATTATCAAGTTACCGAAAGGAACGTGTACCCGTCAGAGTACGTAATTTAATAAAATTTTTTTAATAGTATGGATGGAAAATAATTGTAAATTTATTTGAATTTGTGCAGAAAGTATATTATAGCTCAGATGGCTCATTAACTACGGAGAGTGTTTGCAAACAGAGATAATAAGAAACTACAAGTTTTCATTTATCTTTTAATATCTATACATTTTTTAGTATGTATGATGTAATAAATACTGTCAATTACAAATAAAATCTTTTTTTTAAAAGTAGTCAAATTTTGGTTAAACAGCTTCGCAATATTGCTACAATGCTCTAAACAATATAAAATATTAAAAAAAAAAAAATTTTTATTCTTATAAAATCCTTTATTTGTAAAAAGTTATTTGATATTATTAATGAAAAATTTTTTCATAACAAATTCCAGTATTAAAAGTAAATTTATTAGTAAATCTACTAACACCAGCCCATTTATTGCAGAGATCGCAAAAAAGTCGTTTTAATTTTATTACAACTGTGTTCGACAGAAATGGTTCGCACTCGATTGCGTTTCGTTATGCCGTCCGCGTACGTGCGGAGTGCATTCAATGAATGCACGTTCCCGAAGCGTGCAGTTCAGAAGCCACGCGCTGCAACTTGTTGCAACCGGATCGTGGAACCAAATGCCGGCATTTTCTGGTTTATCAAACGCGTTGCAACAGCAGCGCCATCTGGTCTCTAGTAAGCGTGATGATTCCGGCAAGCAGGGAAGCCAGTGTCGTGCGATACGTTGAAGGGTAAAGGTGTTTTGTGTCGTTCCATTGATAATATTCGTGAATCTGTACTGTCATAAGTGTTTAAAAATAGTAAATATCTCATATTGGATGTGATATACGTGAACATTATTATGTATTTTGTTATTCAAGCTTGAAAATATTCATTGTCTAATGATTTAAGTAACAATCGAATGGTTTGGAATTTTTCGTTATACGTGAAGACACATGTGACAAAAGTATGTTCCTTTGTTTTTATTCAGTTAAATCCGAGTAATCGTGGTTTGAAATTTGTAGAAGTATAAGAAAATAAGTATAAAAAAACAAGGGTAAGTCTACGACATTAATGAAATTTCGGCGCGAAATTTCTCCTCCAGAATTTCATTGAAACGCGAACCGGAACGTTTCGCGCGTTCAAGAAATTTATTGGTCGATTTTAAAATGATCGATCGAATTCATCGATAGATGTCACTCGTGAAATTTATTATTTAGTTAAGTGAACCGACTATTTGAGATTCATGAAGTCAAAAGAAATTTTCGAATTTATATTTCGATTAAGCATGAGATTTTAGATTCCGCGTTATTATGTACTTAAACAAAACAAATCGAGATTAACGCTGATCGATTTCGAGGAATAGTTTCGTCATTAGTTTTGTGAATTTGAGGGAAGGAAAATGTGCGGGAATGTGTCATAATTGACATTCTTGAATCGAAATATATCGATACGATTAGAACTAGTTTCGATTAGTGAACAATGCGCACTGCGAATGAATACTCGACTTGCGTTTCGCGTGTTCGTAATTGACTGTGGTGTTGAAGTGTGTTCTCCTCTTTAAAGACATGATGGGACGCCAAAGCTGCGGTAAACTGTGCTTTCTGTTCGTCGTACTACTTTTCGCAGCTACATTAAAAGGTGAGTGACATTCATTTTTTTGAAAAGCTTTCGAAGTGTCATCACTTTCAACATATATATATATATAATATAATATGTTTAAAGTGATAGATCGAATAATTTTTATATTATTTTGGCATATATATTAATTACATATACAATGAAAAATAAGAAATATGAAATAATTTTCTTTTAAAAGGAATTATTTTTATATTATTCAATTCATTAGAGATATGATATCATATCTTTGAGATCGATAAATAATTGAAATAATCGATAGAGCTTTGATTATTATTAGCCATATTGTTAATCAAATTAGCAATTTTTTCATAAATTTCAATATAAATTTCTTATTCATAAATACAAATAGGAATAATATTAGCAAATGAAAATTAATTTTCAATTAATTTTTGTAATTTTCGAATATTATTATAAAATATAAAAGATTCGTTTAATTTACTTTGATGGTTAAATTTTATTGAGGGAAAATATGATAAGCTTCAAAATAGAAATGATATATTTTTTTTATAATATAAATACAAAATATTTCAAAGCATATGGTACTATGATGATTATGAACGTATCGTTTACATTGAAAAGTGATGAGGAACACAATAAGAAAAGGAATTCTAAACATATTTATATAAGTTCTATTTGTATTGAGGGAATCATGATGAGTTTGAATTCTTTTGTTTTTTAGATCCGTTCTACATTGGATACCAATGTTACATTTATTGTATTTGTATTCTCTGGTAATGAATGAATTATTCTTTATATTATATTATATTTAATTTTTCTTTTATTAAATAAGGAAAATAATCAATGTCTTTTTATTCTAAGAATTTCGTTACTTCTTTTTCTTTCTTTTGAGATTCTAATAAGAAAGAATAGCTTGCATCAAATTTCTGTTATGAAATTCATATCTTCTAACTTGATTCGATATCTACATGTAAAATTTTTCTGTACCTACAGATAATTACTTACAGATAACAGTGATAAGAATCGTATTATAATGAACAATAAATATTGCCTTGTAATAAGACATCGATATATTTTTCTATTTTTTCATAAAAAAAAGAAACAAGAATTAGCTAAAGTCGTTAGGATTCTAAATTTTAAATCAAATCAATTCGAATCTTTTTTACACGAGCAAACAGAAATGTAGGATTTTATTTTACAACAGTTTTGCCGTCCCATGCAAAACTTTTGACTAAATCGAATTGCAAACCATGCATATCTAACGAATCCAAAGAGAATTAAAGGGGGAGGGGAGAGAAAAAAGAGCAGAATATTTACGTCTCCTCGAAAATAAATACCAATACGTGCCTCGAAATGCGAGTTCTCGCATTTCCCAGCCGCATGACCGTTTTTCACTGTAGAAAAAAAAAAGAAATGGGGGATGGGAACAGAGGAAGAGAGGAGAGGGATGGAAAAGGCAAAGCTTGTGCCGAAATTCGAATGGAAAAACGTCGACGCGGGGTTCATTTCGGTCTAGCCGTCGTTTCGAATCCCATTCCAAAGTTCGATCTCATTCTGGACACGCGTGATCCGGATTAGAAATGTCCGTTTCTTCTGTTTTAGATAATTCTTGTTTTGTTTCATGTAAAAATACGAAATCGAAGATGAGATTGTGAGATATCATGCAAATTTCTTATTTCTTTTTTTTTTACGTACTTATTATTTTTTTTCTTCTTCGTTTTTTTTGTTTCGGTTCTTCAATTTTTTCTAAATTATTGAGAGAGAAAATGATGGAGAATTTAGAATTATTTGTAAATAATTTAACAATTAATTTTTTTATATATCATAATATTTCATATTTCGCATTAATATTAATGAGAAACTTTTATAATTTTATTTAGAAGTGAGAAATGATTTATAAAAATTGTGTTCGATACAAATAATGAATCATTCGCATAATTTAATTATTAGTTTTATTTTTCTATAATTAATGAATTATATTTTTCTATTTTTCTATAATTATCGAATAATTTTTGACAAAAATTTATACATTTTTCTTCTTTCTTTATTTTTTTTTTAATTTTTTTGATATTATAAAAGATTAATATTTTTATAATTATCGTATAAATAAATTTTGTCTTTAGGTTATACATGTTCATGTATCCATAGGAACTTCAAAATTATAAAAATGTTTTCAGATTCGTAGCAAAATATTCTATTAAAACTTTACTATTAAAACTTAATCTGTTACTTATTATTCAAAATAATATCATATATAATAAATATAATATCATAAATATAATATAAATATCATCTTTCTTCACATAAATAATATCTCATCTTATATGTTTATTTCTTAATCTTAACCCTTCTTCAACTATCATTTCGAAATCTTTTTCATCCACTTTATGGTAATATAAAGTATCTCTACACCAACGTGCAGTTTATATCTTACACAGGAAAAGCGCTAGAAAGGAGCTATAAAGATTTGCATACATCAATCGTACCCTTTTCTTCAAAGCGACACGTGTACCGGAAAATATCTGGGTGGCCACTTTAGACTTACATTCCGCTTTATAAACATTCAACAAGTGGCAACGGGGTCCATCGACTCGTGGAACTTCTCAGTTCCCCGACTATTCCTTTAAAAATCGATCGAACTGCATAAGTATTCCCCCGCGGAACGGAAGGACCAACTTTCGATGTTTAGTTTGCCGGATTAAACGAGATTCTTTCCAAGTATTGGCTCCGCAGTTGGCGAAATCGATTGCGAATTCAGCGTGCTAGAATTTTTTCTACCGTTGTATCATCACCAACTTTTCACGTTAATCCACGATCTTCGTTTTCTGGGATGGATGGTGAAGGAAGAGATTCGTGGAGCGAAATTTAATTTAGTGGAAGCTTTTCGATGTAGTTTCTTATTTCTACTTTCCTCGAGTTTGGGTAAGAAAAAACTTTCAAAACAAAACGTAGTAGGTGACATATAAAATTTTTTTCATGGAAAATTTTTTGGTTGGATTAGACAGGGATTAAATATCAATGATGTAATAATCATTTATTCGAGGAGAAGTTAAAATATGAGCTTCGTTAACTTGGTTTCTATTCACGCTATGATAAAATAAATATTTAATTCTAGCGTTAAATACTATATTTGTAATTGCAGTAATGATTTTAATAATTCTTAATAGTCGTCGGTTAATCCATGGATTAACATTTGTGTTGATAAATTTCTCATACACGGTATATTTCAAAAATTTTTCAAATGCGTTACATGATCTCGTGCCGATTCGTGACAATGATAAGAAATCTTGTCCCTTCTTCGAGCGAGTTTAACACGAGTGAGGAGACATATTTAACGAGGCACGCGAAAATAGCCCAGCAAAGCAGCAATAAAATGTGAATTTTCTGCTTGCCGAAACGTTCGAAACACTCGAAACACGGGAGCTTTAAACGGTGGGAGCTTCATAAAAATTTGAATGCAATTCACTCGCGAGCCGTGTGTTGCGAGACGCGCAATTTTACCAGTTTTTTTTCCATGAAAATTTCTTCTCTCTTCCCCGCGCGCGAACAGCAGGGAAAGACGAATAGATAGAAATCGATTTCACCGTTTATATTTATTACCCGTTTGTCGTTTCGCTATTCTAATTTCAACTGGACACCCGACCTGTAATTACGGGCATTTAAAAGCTTTGGCGACGTGTACTTTAGTTTGCAAACAATTTCAAACGCGGCCAGGGCCCGTAAGCCGAATTAATGGGCTCACTTTTAATTACCAGTCCACGCGCGGCCATTGTCCCACCCCTCCCCTCGTTTAGTTTAATTGTTCGTAACGATTAATCCTCCCGTATTTTTTATTCCGACCTGAGCTCACAAGTTCGTACTTCTTCCTGTCTTTCTTTCCTATCTCCTTGTGAAAGTCGTCGTGAAAATTGGATGAGATTTTTTTTTTTAACATAGAGGAAGAAGAAATATATATACGTTGCACGTAATAGGATTTTGGGAAGAGTTTATTATTTAAGGTTTGAAAGAGATTAGTGTGTTACATCATTTTTTTTTTTTTATTTGGGAAGTAGGGAAACTGAGAAGGGAATTTAAAGTTTCGTGGAAGGAAGGGGAATATTTGGAATTTATGGAGGAGGATATTAGCGTATTTTTGATATTTTTTTGTGCGAAAGTTGGAAATTAGAGGGAGTCTCGGGGGTTTTAATTTAGGGAATTTCCGCAATTTGCAATGAAATGTAGAAATAATATATATGTATCGCGTATAAGAAAAATTTTACGTTGAATAAAAATAATACAAAGAAAATAGAGAATAGAAAGTTCCATAAAATAATAATGAGATGGAATAATGCCAAGAATATGAAAGGAGGATAGAACAGAGTGTATTTTAATTATACGAAATATTCAAATGTTCATCAAATATTATTTCATTCAATACTATATAATGTGACGAGATATTAAAACATCAAATAATTTTACTACTAGAATCTTTATCTTTAGAGTCAAGTTACAACATTTTTCTCTGTTTCCCCCGACAAGCTTAGAATCAAAGTTAAAATATACTTTATGTGAACCTGATTAAAGTTTACTGCCCTCTCGATATGGGCAATCCTTTAGGCTACTATATACACATTTGTCATGAATAAAATATCAATCTTATAAACTCGGTGCAGAACGTAACTTTCTATATTGGCCAACTATGGATGAAGCTAGTAACTACAAAAAAAAAAATGTAGAACTTGTTTTGTATTTTTAGATACTTGTTAATGTTGCGCGTCTTGCTTTGCTGATAAACGGCAATAAGATATAATTTTATTAATAATTTTGTTAAAAAAAAAAAAGAAAAAATTAACATTTACTTAAGAGAAAATACATCGAATAGAAATGAGAGAAAAGTAATAACTTCATTACTATTCTTTAAAATATTAATAGTCAAAGCCATCAAAGTTTACATCGATTTTCTGCGAATAAATTTTTCAATAGATATTGCCTTCCTCCATATTGGCTATATAACATATAAATCACAATATCCTATTTCCGAAGTTTAATATACAATTTTTAAG